CAAAGGCATTGCCTATTATCCTCACCAAATAAACTGAAAAAATAAACTGAAATGACGATATTTTGACGGATATGAAATTATCTGCCAACCATAGCGAACACTCCTGCTAACTATATGTTTGATCTCACTGATCAGTAGTTATCCACTTTTTATTTATTTTTATCAGAACACTAAGGTTATAATGATGAGGCCCTCCATGCCCTAAATATAAATCAATGATTTATTTAAGATATTGAATAACCTTCTTAATAACTGCCTTCGAATAAAAATTACCCAAAATAGTATTGAATAAGCGCGTTACTAGCGTTTTGAACAGAAATTATATGATTAAAAGCAAATATAGCAAAACACTAGACATGTGCGACCATTACATTCCTGGGGGTTAACAGACGAAGGGATATTATTCCCATTATATTACTGGATATCTTGCTTATGGTAGTAAGTTAATCCGTGAAATTTTGGCCGATTCTGTAATAATTGCAGGGAGCACTACTAGACTAGGAGTAAAAAAGATCACGAATTTGTTGCAACCAGCCAATATATACTTACTTCAGAAAGCAAACTATTTTGGACAAAAGGGATGGGTGTCATGGGCCTGCCATTTTCCTACAGTAATTAATTTCCAAGTGAGATCGCGCAAACCATGTCATTTTTTCTGCGTATTAAGACGTCCTTATAGTGCAATTATATATTATTCTTTCCTGGCTTAAGGTTTCATAGTGTAAACAACAGTTTTTAATTGTTCAAAGCCATGTTAACTAAACATAACGTTGTAGTTACCCTGGCCCCATCGTGATGCAAAGTCTGACCCATTTACTCTTTTTTTACAGCCCACATGATAAATGCCGTAAAATTAATTTATTAGCAACCCCGTCCACACAACTAACGATATTTTATCTCGAATGTCTCCTTCTGCGTGCTCTCTACCCGCGTGTTGTTTATCCTCCTCAAAAAGCTGAATATTATCTCACTAACGTATCAACAACTAGAAGGAGGGATTTTGAATTAGTGCACCGGGTCAGCTGGTCACAAAATGGCTGAACTAATAAAACCTCCTCGTATGTTCACTCCAAACGAGTGGCTCTGTGCAAATAAAAATAAATATGGGATGGCTAACTCTACAAGAGAATTGGCACAGGGCTTAAATGCTGAGTGTGATCGAGCTATAGATGAAGTCAAAAAACGCACAGAGAAAACGATGAATGATGTCGACAAAAAATTAGGTAGACAACTAATCTTTCTATCTCTCAGATCAGAGACTTGATGACGTTGCATATTGGCGGGGCGAATTGGATAAAAAGCTACAAGACAACGCCGAGGAATCAAAAAAACTCCGGGAATGTATTGTGAGACTTCAGAAAGCCTTAGCTGCCACATGTGAACCACTTCACATAACTAATCAGTGTCTACTCGTTAGGTGAGTTTACCTTTTGCTTCTATTTTAAAAAGAGACGAACGAAAGGGTATTGATCTAGTGGCAGATGATGTGCACAAAAATCTTCTTCGTGAAGTTGAAACGATAAAAGGAGTCCAATCTTTGCTATCACGTACCATAGAGCAAGCAACCGAGCAATACAGGTACTTTTGACACAGAAACTTATTTAAAGACTCAATCAAAAGTCAGCCTTTAACCTTAAAAAAGATCACGTTGGGAAGCAGAGTGCTTTCAACTTGGACGAATATGGAAGGACGGTCTCCTCATATGCTGAGAATATCCCCGATGCAAAAAAAGAATCTCCCGATTTTGCCCCGTTGGTTTCGTATATTATCTGACAATTAATGTTCGTAGATCTTTTAGTCCCGCAGAGTGGCAAACATTCACTCAAAACAACCTCGAGATGGCCGATAAACAGCTCCAGAATTCTCATCAAATGCGAAACCTTATAGAAGGCATTCTAATTCAAGTTGCTGAAGATCAGAAGAAGCAGGTCGCTGATACTAATTGGGCACTCAAAAAGCGAATTACAGAAGTTAGAGATGCAAAAGGCAAATTGGAAGAACATCTTGCACTAGTAAGTAAATTTCAAAATAGTCTAAATTCATACAGTTTCTTAAATAAATCTATCAAATTAAATAAGTTATATATAGGAGAGATTGACGAGGAGATATCATGTGCTGATGTTTATACTCAGGGCAGGGATTGTGTTTAATAAAACCTACAGATTAAAGCCAAACTAGGACATCAATTTAAAAAAATAGTGCGAAAAACTTGGTACAGTCATTTCTAAAATTTTGATGAAGAAATCTACTACTGCCTACACTTAATGGACATACACTATATGGACCCATTCTTAGCAAAAAAAATACATGTGCTCAGGAAAATAATCGGTCGTTATAAATAAAACCCTATTTTTGATAAAGCACTCCTGATGTCATCCAATAATGACAGAATGGTTAAAATATAAATGTCAAGTATGCCACTACAACTAAAACTTGGCTTTTTAAACCATCGATGATTTAGTTGTCCACACAGAAATCTTGAAGCTTTGCCAGTTTTTTGAATTTATGCCGAATTTTAACTAGTTTATAACCTCCCGAACCTTTCCAGTGGCAGCTTTGAAACCCGAATTTAAATTCATCAGTCTTTAACTAAGTAGGTTTTGGGAAGCTGATTTTCATTAGACTATACATTTTGCAAAAAACACGAAAATTAAGCCACTTGAGCTTCATATTTGTCCACTATTAGCTTAAGAACTTGGACGGAATCCAAATTCTGCCAACTGAGAGCAAAGTTTATCCCTAAGGTGCCTCATTTTTGAAATAATCCATTAACGCGAAAACCGTATTGGTTAAGATGGCAAACGAATTTTATTGAGAAGCTAAGCACCGAACTTTTGAAGTAAAGATGGAGAATACTTCCATAGTCTGGAAAAACTCTGCGGAGATAAGCACTGGCTTGTGTCACTCGAAATCGCCAAATAAATTTTTTTGACATCACAGCACACATGTACACACATAGGGAGTTCAAAGGTACACACCTGCATTTCCCTCAAATAAACTGAACAAAGCGAACACGAATAAGCAGCGAACTCCCACACATAGCTGTGAAATTCGTTCGAAAATACTAGACGCTTCCCGCTTTCCAATAATCCTAAACATACAAGGCTTTATAAATAACAGAGAAGTCAAGGATTAATTGACTATCAACTCCACAACGCCCGATAATACGCCTATCTTCGATTAGGCCAGTTAAAATAGCTTGCAGAGGGTAAATTATAAAGTATTTCACACATCGCACCTAAATGTTGCGAAGAAGTACATAACATCCGCTGGCGTACTATCATGCGCAGTTTCGAAAATTACAGATTTCAAATTTTATTTTTTAATGTCACTCGATTCTCAAGTCAATCTGTAAGCTGCTTAGTTTGTGCAGGAAACCGGTGGACATTATATCATCTAAGTCCCATTTCGACGAGCATATTTTGAAGAATGTTGCTCGGTTTGCAGGCATTACATGCAAATGATTTAAGATCTTAATAAGCACTTCGGAGACTATTAATTCATACACACATTGGCTCCTCTGTTTTTATTCTGACGTAAGTACGTGAAAAGTGTAGTGAAGACAAAACCCACCATACGATAATATTCATTTAAAAGTTCCGTAAAATAACGAGGCTCCAAACGACTGGCTTATCTGAGATACATATTGGACCGTACTCAACATTTAACATGAACAAAGTTGACTTAAACTTACCATAAGTTCGCCGATTTGTTTCGTAACTGAACACTGCAAAAAACTGTATTTAGTCATTGCTTTCTAAACTCGTCAGTTGTGGTTTGGAGGATTATCAGGTTTTAATCAAATAAACTCTTATAAATTCCGTCCGCACCCATTCCAGCATGCCACGAGATCATGAGCAGACAGTGACACTGTCACGATGCCGCAAAGTGACGAGACTATTGTTGATATGAACTACTTGGGGGACACTCCCCTCCGCCCCCTTTGATCTCTCTTAACAGTTCCCCTCTCCTCTCCCCCCTTTGAATACCGCTGATTGATTGCTTAAACTTTTACTAACTCTACCCCTTTATATTATTGTACACGCCCTGAGATGAATTAAATCGAAAACGTTCTGTTCGCCTATCTTGACTTCTTCAGCTGTAACTGTTTTTATTATATTTATTCTATCAAGCCAACTATCCCCCCAGACTTATATTTACAGGGCCGAAATGTATGCATGTTTATGAGAGAGGGCCTAACTTCCTTCTAACTTGTTCCATGTTTTCATTTTATATTTTATTAATAAAATGTTGAAAATTAAGTTTTAGGCTGGAAGTAGACACACGGGCCTAATTTGGCAAATCTATACTGCTCCTAGTGTATAATTTTGCTAAGATATATGTTGTGTTGGTCTAAATGTATGACCGGCCTGGGTGGGGCTTTATTCCAAATCCCGTAACATCGAATGTAGTTCAATCATTTGTGCTTTTGCATATCGCTGTGTTTGTGCGGTTTTTCTTAAAACTGACCACTGAAAATAGATTATTTTAAAGTGCTGTGCGATGTTTCGTCGGTCTCACGAAGCAGCAGCAAATTAAAACAGACGCTTTCGACGTCAATATTTATCCTAAGCTGAGCCCACCTTAGTGAATAAGGTTACAGTAGAGTGTACCAGATTTTCAAATCGTGAAATCCTGTTCGGGAATAATGAATACCTATAGAGATTATAATTATGCTGATGATGGGTATATTAGTGATGATAATGAAAATATCGAGAACGGTAGTGCTAATGGTAGTAACCATAATGATATAGTTTCCAAAAACTGGTTTATCTATGCCCTGAGTAAACAGTAGATCTGGATAAGAAGTCAGCATAAACATGTCATTTTGGTCATTTGTGACGGTTGTGCTCTAAGTGGGATTTCAGTGCCTTTCGTACACCTTATACTGCAGACACTGAAAGAGATATCAGATATGGAGGACAATATCACAGAATTGAAGAGTGCGATTCGTGCCCTAAGCAAACCAGCTGCCGTCACGGAGACTAGACAGAACCTTCGAGACGTGCGACCCGGCGTAGAACTCTGTCGGGACGCTCCATTCTACAGGCAAGTTGGCGTTTTTCAGTAGGACTGTCTTGTAGGGCCGTCTTAACTAAATTCCGCCTGCCTAAGGCTCCTAGAAAATAAATTCCGCCAGCCTAAGGTCGGATTTCCACCAATAGGAATTGTCTACTATTCTTATAGGTCAAAAGCACCAGCAACAGGAGTTTATCTTGGTCGATTTGATTATATTCAGCTCACTAAAACAATTATAAGTGGATTTAATTTACTTTCATTTGTTCAGTTTCTCAAGCGCATATGGAGAGCGCATCAGGCGTGTCTTCCTACTTTTGGGCGCTCTATACGTCCTCCTAAATACGCTTAATTTGGCGTCCAACTGGTCGTATTACGGCTTATGATTTAACAACACACCTAGACGTGAGAATTAGCATTCGTTCCTGCAATCATCCAAGCAATTACCACTCATTAATTTTTATTGAGTCAGGTAACGCATGCCTACATGAACTTATATTGCACTCAATGTATTAGTCCATGTATAAAATAGCTGTCAGCTGATTGCAACTGATCCCTGCACATCTAGACAGGTTACAGCCGGTGCGATTCATGCAACCTACGCTGACTTCTAACTTGGGAGACCTTCGTTTTATCGAGTTCGAGAGGAGCAGCAGCAAGACGTGGGTCGAACATTGAACTTATTCTAACGTTTCCTGAAATCCTCTCCGACCTTGCCTACGCATTTATCTTCGAGAATTGTATAAAGGTCAGTATAGAAAGTGGAGTTTGTACGCCAGAGAGCCCGCTAGGAATTCGAGTGCAAACGGGCCCCTCTGAGCTGCATCCTGCAGCGGCAAGAAGTCCGCGTGCGTGAGTATCAAGGTCTGGTGAA